ATATAAGCTTCACTTTCTACCATATTATTAAAGCTCTTTTTAAAATTTTAAAATTAAATTATTCAATCTTTATTTATGTGATAGTGACCCCATTCATAAATAATTTTATGTCTCTGTCGTTTTGTTTTTTTCACTTCATATCGCAACATTAAAACTATTATTAAAGTTCTAAATTTAAAACTATGAATCAATGTTCTGATGCAATCCACATCAACATTCAACAAGTTTTCAGAAAGAGCCAAAAAATATATATATAATTGATTTTAGAAAAAATTACCATATAAGAGATCACGCTTGTAATAAGATAAATTTTGAATTTTATTAATTTAAATTTAAATTTTTTATTTTATTTTTAATTTAAACTGTTGATATATTTTCATTACGTAAAATTGACCGAAAAATATTATTTTAGTCTTTAAACTAAATGCAAATGTACATAAAATATTTAAAATATTCTTTTTGTTGATTTTAATGATTAAAATTTTATTTTTTTCATTAATTTTATTTTAAAAAAATAGAAAAATAATTTAGATTATGAATAAATACAAAATTTAGAATCTAAATTAATAAAATTAAAAACTCATAATTTTTTTTGTTATAAGAATCAAATGCTTAAAAAGAAAATTGTAATTTTTTCTAGATTTTCTATTTCTGGATCAATTTGAAATCCTAGATTTACGGAAAAGAAATGGACTGGACAGTTCAGTCCGTGGGTCACACTGATTCTATTCTAATAGTTTAAATTATTAAAATTTTAATTTTTTATGTGTAAATTATATATATATATATATATCAGATAGATTATTGTAAATTTTACATTTATTACCTATTTTTTTAACAACAAATGTGAACAAATTATATGATTTAAATCATCAAATTAAATTAATTTTTTTTATATGAATCATTTACAAAATATCTTAAATTTATGATCACAATATGACGCATTGTGGCCCATGTGCCTAACTAGACCGGATCCTCCAATCCTCAAACTCCTTCATTAGGAAAATTATATGGTGAGATTTGGACAAGTCAATGTGTTGTTTTAATTTATTTTTATTAATTAAAACAATAAGAATAATTTAATTTTTTTTAATTAAAATAGTAAGATGTAATATTTTTGTGTTGATTTGAGTAGATAATATGATAAGTATGAATGATAAAAAAAAAAAAAGAATAAATTATCAATATACTCTAATAGTTAGACTTAATTCTCATTAAGTCCTCTTGAAAATAAGTCCTAATAAAATAGTCGTTAAAAATAATTTTTTAAATATATCGCTAAAAATTAACAATTAGTAATTTTTTTTGTTACAATTTTTATAAATTATCGCTAAAACTTACAATTAATGATTTTTTTTGTAACGAATATTTCAAACTGTCGCTGAAAGTTAAAAATTAGTAATTTTTTTCGTAACAATTTTTTTTTAACCATCACTAAAATTTATAATTAACAACAATTTTTGTGATAATTTTTAAACTATTACTAAAAATTAACAATTAATTATATTTTTTAAATAATAAATTAAACTATTACGATCTACATATAAGTCACTCGTAAAAAAAAATCAACAAAATAAGGGATTCATTGTACACCCTACATACATCGACCCAAATTCGACCCACGAATTTCGAGCACCCACCCATTTTTCAAGAAAGAATCCAAGTCCATGCTCACTAATCAGTCTTATTAAGTAAATTTATTTATTTATAAATTTTATTGTTAAACTTATTACTATAAACTTATTTCTAAAAATATTCAACAGGAACATAAATAATAAGTTTTAAAAGTAAAATTTATTAATAATTTACCTAAATTTCATAGGAGTTTCATAACTCATAGGCCCTGTTTGTTTTGGGAGATAGAAGGCGGATTGAGATTGAGATAGAGGTGAGACCCACTAATATTGTGTTTGTTTTGAGAGATGGAGAGGGAATTTATACCTTCCATTAGGATGGAGATTGAGATTGAGATTGAGATTGAGATTGAGATAGAGGTGAGACCTACTAATATTGTGTTTGTTTTGAGAGATGGAGAGGGAATTTATAATACCCTCCATTAGGATGGATTTTGGGGAGGGGATTAGGATGGAGGCTTGGGACATGGTATTAGAAAATAGTTCGCCGAACTATTTTTATTTATTTTTTTATTTTTTACATGTTGGGCATTTTTTTTGGACATTAATATTTAATTTTTTGTATTTTTTTGATAAGTAAAAATCATAATTTTATTTGTTTTATTTTATTTTTTATTTTTACATGTTAGGCATTTTTTTAAACATTAATGTTTAATATTTTTGTAATTTTTAATTTGTTTTATTATTTTATATAAAAATGATTTAACAATCCCTACACCAACAACTATCATCAAAACAAACACTATTTTACTTAATTCTCTCACTATTTTTCCCTTATTATTAATCATCTCACTACAAACTCTTCATTCTACCTCTGAAAACAAGCAAATCCATAAGTCAATTTATGTGCCTCTAGAATGCCAGAGGTTTACATATATATATATATATATATATTTGGTTTGTCTTTAGTTAAAAGTTAAGTATATCAGACAATTAGGATTTTTGATCGATAAGAGCCATTAAACGGAAAACTCTTACCAGTAAAAGTTTATAAAAATATAGTCCAGTCGAATTTTTTTAAAGTCTCTGACTAGTAAGAGTCTTTTGTTTAATGACTCTTACTCGTCAGAAACCTTAACTATCTGATCTAGTTGACATTTTAATTGGAAACAAGCCATTCCCTATATATAATTGCAAGCAGAGTGTTGTGTAAGGGTTGCTTTTTATTTAGAGAAAATTGTTGAAAAGTTTACTCTAGTAATTGTTTAAGACATTAGATCTAGTGGATATTTTTTGTTGGTGAGAGGTTCACCATTTATGAAATAGTTTAGTGATAAGTCCTTTTATTTGTTTTGATAGATATTTTGTTTCTAATTTTATCCCTTAATTTATCTGTTGATTTTTTTTTATTTGTTGACTTTTGTTAACTATCTGTTCAAATTTTTTTCTTATCTAGTCAAATTTGTTTCCTATTTGTTCAAAAATTTTCCCTTTCTGTTCAAATTTTTTTCTATTTGTTCAAAAAAATTTCCTATCTATTTAATTTTTTTAATCTTTTCAATTCAAATTTTCCTTATTTGTTTAAATATTTGTCCAAATAAAATTCTATCTGTTCAATTTTTTTGATTATCTGTTTAATTTTTTTCCCATATATGTTCAAATATCTGATCAAATTTGATTATATGCTCAATTTTTTTTTCTATATGTTCAAATCTTTATTCTTTATCTATCTGTTGCAATTTCTTTCATCATTAACAAACATCAACAACCACCACAAAAAATCAACAATTTCTTTCTCATTTTGAATAGATCATATCCACTGTTCAAAAAAATTATTTGATCAAAATTTTTTTTTTTTTTTGTCTTTTAAAAGTACATATTCATGGTAAAATTATCCAAATCTCTAACCAAATGCACGATTCATAATATAAAATGAGAAATTAGTATTGATGATCCGGAACCCCAAATCATTTTAATAAGTATTCCATAAGAAAGTCTTGTAAACGATATCATAAAACACTAAAATATTCATCAAATCTACTCAAATGAACAAGATCTTACCAAAATCGGATTTGAAACCACCGTCTTGCCACCCCTATAGGCGGAGTTGCTGCTGCAGAAGAGCATGACGGCCAGACGGCCAAATCGCGTGATTTTCCATCTCATATATATACATATTATAGAGTGAGATGCAGCAAGAATGGTAGAAGATAATATAAATATTAAAATAAGGGCTGTGTTACAAGCAGTGAAACACCTCCATCATTGAAATCACCACTACCTATCTAAAACAAAAAAGTCACCAAATTTTCGGTGATTGAAAATTTTGGTATTTATATATATATATATATATTTTAGAACAAAATTTGTATACTTTTTTTTTAATTATTATTTTTAAATAACAAACTTTACTGCATTAACTAATAATTAAACAATAATATTATATAATTAAAAAGTTACTCACAAAAATATTAAAAAAATGAATCAACCAACTCTCACTATTCACTAACTTTAAATAAACATACCACCAATTATTTTTAAGCTAAATTTTAAAAAATTTTATTTTATGATTCTTAACATATTTAATAACTAGAATCTAAATAGCTCACAATTATATTTAATGATTATATGGGTTGTTTTGGAAAGATGGTAAAAAGTGACTTTTTGGCTTTTAACTAAGTTTTTGGCTTTTTTAGACAAATGATTTGAGAAGTTGGTAAAAAGTGATTTTTGACTTTTTTTATTAATGTTTGTTTATGATGTCAAATCATAATAAAATAACCAAACTACCCCCATTTATTTAAAATATTTACGACTTCACCTATGTAACACATTTTGACCCATGAGGGTAAAATTGTAATTTCACCGTTGGCTAAAAACCAACTTCCCAAATGAAAAAAAAGACAAAAAAACCAACTTTTAACTTTTACTACAAACTAAAAAAAAGTGACTTTTAACCAACTTATCAAAATAACCCAAAATGAACACGTCAAACCCAAACGTCCTCTTATATTGGATGACGAGAGTCCAAACCCTTATTTTTAAGTGGAGATAGATTTTTAACATTTTTTATAATTGAAGATGAGCACCACCAGTACGGCACAGCCTTGGGCTTCAAAATAACCTGTCTATTAATTGGTTCAACAATGATTTAGAGCACTAAAAAATGCACCACTAATAGCACTAATATATTGGGAATGATAAAAATAATAATAAAAAAATAAAAATAAGGCATAAAAAGTGGGCGGGATCCATTGCCATATCATTAGTACTCCCTTTAGTGATCCCCTTTTAGTGCTCTCAAGCATTTTTCTAATTGGTTTGTTTTGTGGACAGTGATGACAGTGGATCAAATGGTCTAGAATCCATATCTGCAACATCCTATTATCCAATATATACCAACCTATTGTAGGACATCTGCTGGATAACAAAGTTTGTGGTGGTTTTGTTCTCTCTTTCTTCTCTTTCTACTCCTCCTCCAACATGGAAGTAACAGTGAGCTCTATTGTTACCTCCATAGCTTTGGTAACTTTGCTAACATGCGCGTGGAGGGTAGTGAACTGGGTGTGGTTGAGGCCGAAGCAGTTAGAGAAGTGGTTGAGAGAGCAAGGTTTCAAGGGAAATCCATACAAAGTGTTGTATGGAGACACAAAAGAGATGACGTCAATGACGAGGGAATCAAGATCCAAACCCATGGACACGTCCTCAGACGATATTATCCCACGCGTCCTACCATCCCACCATCATAGCGTCCACCTTCATGGTACGAGTTTTTTTTTTTCGGTTTTTACTCAACCAAATATGAAAATAAATATTTTTAAAAAATTAATTATAATTATATTTTTATTTTAATTCTGCTCCATTAAAGAGTTGTTTGGAATATTATAAATAAGTGTATTTTTTAATTTTTTATAAAAAAATATATAAAAAAATAAAAATAAAATATTAATTAATGTGACTCAAAAAAAATAAAAAAATAAAAAATATAAATTTATTTACTCTTTCCAAACTTGGCATAAATACTTTAGGCAACACCCTTCTCTAAAAACTATGACCATTCTTGAATGAATAAAGTTTTGTAGTTCGAATTTTTAACCTTTGAAAGGTTCGAATTTTTCTCTCCTCTCTATCTCTCTCAGACCCATCCTTTAGCCTCCTCTTCTCAACTCCTACTAGCTTCGGCCTGCCCAACACCACCCTCCTTCATTCTTCCTCTAAATCTGTTTATTCAAAACAAAATTCATATACAAATCAATAACTCTCCAAAAACAACATAAAGAAAGAAATAAAAAAAATCGAAGAAAAGAAAGAAAGAAAGAAATTGAAGAAACAAGAATCAGACTGTTGAATCTGAATGATTTATGTTATTTGTTAGTGGTAATTGAATAACCCATGTTGAATTTGGTTCAATTTTGTGGTGGATTTAATAGCTTTTAGAGAGAGAAGTAGGTTTGCTTCAATTTTGTGATGGGTTTGGTAATTTTTAGAGAGAGAGAGAGAGAGTAGAGGAAGAAGAAGAGAAAGAAGAAGAGGAAGGAGGTTCTGATTTTTTTCATTTCTTTCTTTTCTATAGAGATGCAACACTGCAAACCCACTCCGGCGGCTTCCCATTTAGCCGACGAAGCCATCTCCGGCATCCTCTCTTCCTCTTCCTCCTCCGTTCTCCCTTCTCCTCGTTCTCTCGCCCTCTCTTTTTGTTAAGAGTTTGGTTCTCAACCGTTTGACAGAGAAAAGAGAAGGGGAAGGAAAAAGAGAAAAAAAAAAAAAAAAAAAAGCGTCAATTTAAAATAAATTTCTTGTTTTCTTGGAAGAGGATGAATTTAAAATATTTTAGAAAAAAATTAAAAAAAAAAAATCAAAGTTTGGTTATTGTATCAAAATAAATTTTGAATTTATCAATTTAAATTCGAAGCTTTTGATTTATTTTTAATATAAACCATCTATCAATTTTCAGAAAATATATATATATTTTAGACATTAAACTCAAAAAAAAAAAAAAAAAAAAAAATTTAAAGAACCTGAATATTTTGATAATGTCATTTCTTATGTTTGATAACTAATTTAATTATTTGTTAATTTTACGATATTTTTACCATTAAAACCTGTTTGGTAACCATTTCGTTTTCAATTTTCATTTATATTTAAAAAATTTTAAAAACTTCATAAAACTTGTTTGATAATTTTTGTTTTATAAATGTTGTCTTAGTTTGTAAATTTGAAGAAAAAACGTAAATTCAAAAATGAGTTTTCGTTGGTTTTAAACAAAATTTAAAAATTTTACTAACAAATTTTTTTTTCAATTAATTTTTTCCAATTAATTTTTTTTTTCAATGATTTTTTTTGCCAACTAATACTAACCAAGGGCAATTGGTAATATTACTTTAAACCTTAAGGAGGGCATTATATTTCTAAAAATTGAGGGGTGTCAATGTAATTTACCCAATGAGGGTAAAATTGGTATTTAAAAAAATTGAAAGGGCTGAGGGGGGAATCTGCAATGAAACTTTAAAACCTCAGGGGGGGAGATACAATTTTCAAAGGTGAGGGGGAGAAGTGTAATAAACATAAACCTCAGGGGGTTCAATGTAATTTACCCCTTTTTTTTTAACCTTTTGAAAGGTATAGACATTCTTCTGACCAATTACATTTAAAAAAAATAACCATTGAACTACACATCACAATTTTTTCTTTTGTGAGTGTTTATATTTACTAACTTCAATCATATTAAAAAATCAAAACTACAATTTTTTTTTTTTTTGGCTAGACCAAATACATAAAAAAAAGGAGATAACTTCAATCATACAAATCAACAAATATTTTTATGCTGTCTAATTACAATCATATTTTTTTCAATAATAAAAAATTAATTATAAAGAAGAATCGTTAAAATGATTAAATCACATTAAAAAAACCATTGAACAAACTACAATCACATCAATTTTTCTCACAATAAAAAAATAAATGAAAAAAAAACATTGAACTAACTACTATACAATTCACATTAAAAAAAAGAATCATTGAACAACTACAATCATATCACATATTTTCCCATAATAAAAAAATAAATGAAAAAAAGAACCATTAAACTTTATATACAATCACATTAAAAAAAAAAAAAGAACCATTGAACTAACTATAATCACATATTAAAAAAAGAACGGTTGAACTAACTACAAACACATTTTTCTCTTTGTGAGTGTTTTATATTTATCTAACTTATCATATTAAAAAATCAAATTATAAATTTTTTTTGACTAGACCAAATACAATAAAAAAAGGAGATACTTAAATCAAAAGAACCATTAAAATAGTACACAAAAGAGAAATTGCTAAACCAAATACAAATTATAATTTTTTTTTTTTTTTGCTAGACCAAATACTAATTCAAAATGAGATAACTTAATCAATCAAACAATCACAATATTTTTATGCTATCTAATTACAATAATTTTTTTTCATAATAAAAAAATAAATTGTAAAGAAGAACCATTAAAATAGTAAATAAAACGATTAAATAATTATGAGGGGGTTTTGACAAATCTCCCAAAAGACATGGGGATTTGGAGAAATTAATAAATGCTGAGTTTTTTTTTTAAATCAAAAATTAAGAAAATTATGATTGAGATATTAGACCTCCCACAAGGCTTGTGGCTTAAAAACCTCCTTTTGCTTAATATATAGTATAGACTAGCATATCACCGTGCTATGAACGGATTGTTTACAATTACTTATATATGTGAATTGTGATTTTTAATGTTTTTTTTTTTATTTTAAATGTCTTGTTTTTTTTCCTTTTTTTATATTATATTAAAGTTTAATATTTTGATAATAATCATGGTGTTGGACTTTTCAAGGAATTAAATGTCTTTTCTTTTTTATTATATTATATTAAAGTTTAATATTTTGATAATAATCATATGTGTTGGACTTTTCAAGAAAATTTTTATACTTGTTTTAATGCATTAAAGTATTATTAATAGGAATAATAATCATATGTGTTGAGACTTTTCAAGAAATTCATATGTTGTTGGATTTAAAACAAATTTTTTTTATACTTTGTTCTTAATGAATTAAAGTGTTATTATGAGGGTAAGGCTTGGGGTTGGGAGAAGTTAATAAATGTTAAGATTTTTTTTTTAAATAAAAATCAGGAAATTTAGATTGGGAGATTAAGAACTCCACAAGGATTGGGGGTTTAGAAACCCCTTTTCCTTAATATATAGATATAGATAGATAGATAGATAGATAGATAGATAGATAGATAGTTTATAAGAATTTATGTTTGTTTTAGATATTTTTTTAATATAACAAATTATTTTTTTAAGATTTTTTTATAAAAATAATTTAACAATCTGTCACTAGCCATAGTGTATGAGAGAAGTTGAAAAGGGCGTAAGGAGTAGATATAGGAGAAGTCAAAAAGTGGGTTGTGAGAAGTCAACAAATGCTGAGCTTTTTTTAAAAATAAATAAATCAGTGAAATTTAGATTGGGATATTGGAGCTCCCACAGGGCTTGGGGTTAGAAACCCATTTTCCTTAATATATAGAAGATATAGTAATAGATAGATAGATTAGATAGATAGATTTTATAAAATTTATGTCTGTTTTAGATATTTTGGATGAGATCTTATAAAAAAAAAGTGTAGACATGAATGCCCTCCTATTTTATTGTGTTTATAATTATCATATATGTGAATTGTGATTTTTAAATGTTTTTTTTAAATGTCTTCTTTTTTTTCCTTTTTTATATTATATTAAAGTTTAATATTTTGATAACAATCATATGTGTTGGACTTTTCAAGGAATTAAATGTCTTTTTTTTATTATATTATATTAAAGTTTAATATTTGATATAATATAATGTTGTTAAAACTTTTCAAAAATTTTTTTAATGTTTGTTCTTAATGTTTAAGAGTTTTATGAGGGATAATAATCATATGTGTTGAACTTTTCAAGAATTCATATGTGTTGGATTTTAAAGAAGTTTTTTTTATGCTTGTTCTTAATGCATTAAAGTGTTATTATGAGGGTAAACTTGGGAGTTGGGAGATGTTAATAAATGCTAAGATTTTTATTTTTTTAAATCAAAAATCAAGAAATTTAGATTGGGAGATTGGAGCTCCCACAAGGCTTGGGATTAAAAACCCCATTTTGCTTAATATATAGTTAGTATAGATAGATAGAATATATCTTCCTTCTTTTTTTATTTTTTATTTTTGTGTGTTTCTATTCGGGTATTTTTTTTCAATTTATTTAAGATGGAGTTGTGGGTATCTTTTTTTTAAATTTAATTATCTGTGATTTTTCATTTTGTTTTAATTATTATTATTTACGTAAGTTATGATTGTGAGTTAGATATGTGATAGACATGTAAGTTTTAATTGATTTAAAGTTTATTTAGATAAACTTTAAAGATTTTTTTTTAGTTTTTTATTTTTTTGTTATGTTATAACTGTAATATATAAAATAATAGGTAGATATCTACAACTTTATAAAGAAAATATATCTGGATTTTTGGGGAAGAACGCAAAATGATGCAAAGTTTAATATTTTTTTTGAAAATTTGGTGAAGAGAGACTAGGAGGGAGAGATTATGAAATATTTTTGTTATTAATAAATAAATTAGTAACAATAGTTTTTTTTTAATCTATTTTGTATAATTAAAAATCAATAATTTTGGAAAATTGATTAAATTTGTCCTATTAATGATTTACAAATTTTGATAGATTATACATAAAAAAAATACATAATTATATATTAAATCATAATTCAAATTTAGATGATTATATCTTTTTGAAGAGATCTATAAGCTAAATTCTATTCTTTTTATTTTTTATTTTTGTGTGTAAGTGCCATAGTATACTTGGGAGAAATTGCAAAAGGGTGTTGCGCACATAATTATGAGAGAAGTCAAAAAGGAGATTGTGGTTGTGGAGCAGTAATAAATGCTGATTGACTAAATGTCGGGTTTGTTTTTTTAAATAAAAATATGAAAATTATGGATTAGGAGATTGAAACCTCTAAGGTCCATGGGGTTAAAAACCCCCTTTTAGCTTAATATATAGTATAGGTATTATATATATATATATTATATAGATATAGATAGATTAATATGATATGAGTATGATATAGATAGATAGATAGTAAGATGATAATAGATAGATAGATAGATATAGATCAGAATAGATAGATAATGATAGATAATAGATATGGCACATACCATTTATATGACACAAGGACCAAAGTACCCTGCAGGGCACAACTGCGCAAATTTGCTCTCATTAAAGTTAAATGGATTTAAAAAAGTTAAAAAAAAAGAACAAAAAATGTAATAATATTTAAAAATGTTTTAATAAAACATACTAGTATAAAAATAAAAATTAATTATTGTAAA